ACCTGACAAAGTACCCACCGGGTACTAATCAAGATTTTGCTCCTAGGAATGTAAGAGACCCGGGGTACTATTTGCCGCAAATTACGGTACTTTCATATAGTATATCCCCCAAAAATAGTACCTGGCTTTTATACATACCACTTTATTTATTTGTATAGAATTTCTGCTAGTAAAATTTAGAGCCAAGTTAGTGATTATAACTAAGGTTTTTTAAGGAACCAAGCATTTTTTTACTCAGAGCACTAAGTATAAGATGGTTCTGGTTAAATTCGATTTCTCCGACAATCTAGATCTAGCCAATGCTAACTATTAGGTAAATTCTAACTCCGTGTTGCTGACTGGAAGCCGCTGGAACCTCACTGGGGCTGAAAAATTATCTGGAAGCAAAATTTAACACTGCTCTAACCTAAATCAGGCCTACTTTGTCGGCGAAACAGTTGTCGACGAAACTGGTTTATACCTTATAAGATAGAGACGCCGACAATACTCATGACAAAAATTGATAAAAATATAAACTATCTACATCATAGGTTTATAATGTTTATATTTTAAGCTTAGACTAAATCGCGAAAACCATTAAAATATAAACCGATAAACTTGTATAACTTGCGATAAAACTATTAGAAACTGTTTTTTTATATTATTGTTTGTCTTGTAAACAATTGCAGTAGAACATTCATTGGCTAAGCGTGATTCCATTACGATTGGTATTCACCTTCGCCAATGCTAAGAATAATATTTGCATCGAATGGAATAGTATTTATTTTTTATTCAACAAATATAAGCATCCTATATTTTGCTCGAGGCCGACCGCTAGAATTAGATCTTTTTATTATTAATTGAAGAACTGAACAACCTCTAAAAGCAATTGAAAATATTATCAATTATTGACGTATTGAAATAAGAATTTTTAAATTATTTGTTTTTGACGTTGGTTTTAATTTCATAATGTTTAACTTTACGTAATTTGATAATAATAAGCTAATATACGTATATACATACGTACCATGAAATAAATCAATCCAGTGTTAAAAGGGTGTATTGACTAAATTATCCAAGGTTAGATGCAATGCTCCTGGATAGAGGCGCAGACATAATACCATAACTTGCCATAATTATAAAGAGCTATACAGCAAAAATGCTGTAACACATAGCATTATATCTGCACCTCTATGTTAAATATATTGTTTATTTGTTCTATCTTTTCAATAAATAATAAAATAACCTCCGACGGGCACCGAGTTTGCAGCTTATGATACAATTAGCCCACTGCTATAAACGGATATTCTTAAATTGCGGTCAAACAAATACTAATACTATAAACGGCGGTTCCTAGAATTGCGGTTCATCATGTCCCCCGATATGTAACTGTAAAAATCAGGCCATCTTAAAATCGACAATTCTGAACATATGTTTCATTGATAAAAAAAAAAAAAAATTATTGCAAGGCCAATCAAAATCAAATTAACATCTCACCACTTCTGTTTTAAAGTACAATATGAGTTTTGACATTTTAGAAATGAAAGTTATAAAATATCCTCGATTTCAGCCTCAGGGATCGTTATATTCTCTGACAATCAGCTAATGAAATGCGTGAGTCCAATCCTTTGCTTAATGGGTCTACCGATTTTCAAGATCTATTAATGTGCGATTCCTACATCGATGATATTATGACCACGATTAATAATCTTTCTACCGCTCAATTGTCGACTGTAACTTTACCCGAGTTTGAAACTCAAGTTCAATCAATGTTCGTCGACAATAATACAAAGAGCTCTTCATCTTCTCGATCTGGCGATTTGTCATTGAATGATTTTCAATATCCAGTTCCCTCTGACATGCCTTCCTTGGATTCTCAAAAGCCTCTCCCATATTTACCAAACTCTATCACTCTTGATAATTTCTATCCAGAGTCTTTGCATAATTCTCTGAATTCTAGCAAAAACTCTACAAAAGATATCCGTTCTCAAGAAACATTTCTATTCTCTTCAAACTCTGCTAACATCAGTTTTTCAGAGCCTCTATTCTATTCACCAATTCCTAGCGAAGTCTCTACTGAAGACATCAGTTCTCTAGATAATCTTTCTCCATTAACTTATACTTTCTTTCAAGATTCAAATGTTCCTCCAATTAACTCTGCATTGGCCGACTTTGGCAGTTATTCTTCTTCAATAGAAGATACAATTGACACACATGATGCTCTATTATCTCCAAATCTTGATCTCCGAAACATACAGTCTGAAAATAGTAAAAAACGCGTTTCCATTGGATATGACTCGATTTCTTTTGATGAATCCTTAAAAAAGAAACGTAAAGGTACAAACGGAACTGTTAGATTCGTAAAAAAAACAAATACTTACCTAAAATCCACAAAAAAGATCGGCTCTTCTATCAAACATGAAACAAATTCTAATATCAATGCTACATTTGATGAAAAAGGTTCTTTGACATCAAATACACGTTTAAAATCTTCTGTGATTGATATGAATACTGTTAAAGTGACGTTGACTTCTTTGTCTGATACCACGAATCGAAGCGTCGAATCTTTTAATACTAACCTTATCAAAGACAAGCTTTCTAACAAAAATAATACAGCGTGTGATGAAAACCCATTTTCCAATTCGAAATTACCAGTACCTTGTCTCAAGTCTTCGACTACAACCTCTCAATCACAAACAAACTCGAAAAAGCAACCAAATAAGCCAAAAAAAGTTGCTCACAATGTAATTGAACGTCGTTATCGAAATAACATTAATGAACGAATCAATGACTTAAAAAATGTGGTTCCTGCACTTTGCCACTTAAAAAATAAAGATGATGACGTAATTGAAGAAGTTGATGGCATTCCAGCCGCTACGAAAACAAATAAAGCTACTATTTTGAGAAAAGCAACCGAATATATTGTACATCTAAAAAAGAATAACTTCGATCTCAAATGTGAAAATGTCATTTTAAAAAAGATTATTGCAGCTACCCCTGGTGGTACTGATTTATATGGTGCTTATCTCAAAAATATTGAAAACGAGATAGATACTCCGCCAGATACACCTATTTTTGAGATTGATCATTCTTCTGTTCCACATCAATCGACTCCTCCTTCTGGAAATGCTGGTTCAAGAGTATTGATGTCTTCGTTCATGTGCATGACTTTTCTTACGGATCTATTGAAATACGTCCAATCGGTTTCACATCATCACCATGATGAAGGGCGTGTTATTGCTAATAACAATAATGAATCTGTAGCTCCAGATGGAATTCATAATTCACGAGGTGGTATAGCGATTGATATTTGGTATATATAATAAATAAATAAATTTTCATTTCTCATTATTATTCTATTATAATTTTATGAAAATCTCATGTTACATTATTTAATAGGTATTTGGCCAGGATCATTTCCTTTCTTATATGTTTTACTTATATCATCTGGCCATCCTTGTTTTCAATCAAAGTACAACATACCCATAAATCTGTTATCATTTCTCGTTTAACTTCCAAGGCTAAATATGCAACGGAGCTTTACTCATCTCTATCATCCCTTTCGAATATTTCGTCAATGAACACTTTGGGATTTGCGGCTGGTCTTTTTATCGAATCTTTAAAATTATTTTTAAGAAAATTTTTGAGGTTGAAAATGTTTTGTGGTTGTGTTAATGTAGACACTGATGAAAGGTTGTTAGAGGTTGAATTATGGAACAGACTTGGTGAAGCAGAATTATGTGGTGGTGAGTATTTATGATCAGTGTTGGCCGATGGCCTTAAATGATTTTGATATGATAGAATGTAATATGACCAATATGGTCAAAAGTCATACTAAAAATAAAATGGTATGACTTAGGTCATCGGCTGACACTGTTTATAATGTAAACTTATAAATTGATATATTATATATATATGCTAACATTATCATTTTTCAGGAAACAAATGTGCAACTCGTCTTTCGATCTTATACACATGCCTTCGAACGATTAACCTTTTGGAAAGTTATTATGCTTGTTATAGGAATAAGCGCATCAGTCCTGCTCGTATATATGCAAATGCCGCATTACAATGTTATGTTGGTCTTCGTTCAGTTCCCTTTTTACGCCGTAGAGCTGTATCTCATTTCTGGAAACAGGCTATTAAAGAAAAAGGTTGTTTCAGTTCTGAAGATAAATGGCTTGAAATCGCACTTGTTAGCGATCAAAATAATGACATTTTGGAAAATGTAGCAAATAAGCTCAATGATCATGTTTTTCATTCATCAAAAAGCGAAAAAACTCTTAAACCTATAATTAGCACAACTATTCCACTTGTTTATGTTTCCGAAGTTCAAGCTCTTTTCCATATCAAGGAAGCCTTTTATAATCTTATTTCTGAACGACATGACATGATTAAGATTCAAAAGAAAAGCAAATTTACTTTTTCCGAACTTCACAGTATTACCACACCTACTTCTCTAAT